GCTGTCCCAGTTGAAAGTGTGGTTTTTCTCGTCTGTGTGTATTGAAACCAAGGACAACAGATTGTGTAGTTTAGTTGCTAGCTGGTGTTCGTGGATGCGAGTTTCTAGTTGTCTGCCTGTTTGTCCCACGTAGTGTTTTATGCAGTCTCTGCTAGCAGTGTGATTTCAGCTTTCCCGTTCCTGAGTTCCACCCAAATTGCCTCACTGCATGAGTCTTCTGATGTATCCTTCCTCAGTACAGCTATGAGACACTCCTTTATCGATAATATAAATCCCTCAACCCTTTTATATCCCTTTCTATCACACCTGAAACATCTAAATTTTGGGACATTCAGCTGCCAGTCCTGTCCCTTTTTCAGCCGATAATCACAATAATATTGTAGTTCCAAGTACTAATCAAAGCTGAATCAGAGATAGTAGGAACTGCAGATGCTGGAGAATCCGAGACAACAAGGTGCAGGGCTGGATGAACACAGCAGGCCAAGCAGCATCATAGGAGCAGAGAGGCTGACGTTTCGGGCCTAGACCCTTCATCAGAAAAGGGGGAGGGGAAGGGGGTTTTGAAATAAATAGGGAGAGAGTGGGAGGCGGATAGAAGAGGGATAGAGGAGAGGATAGGTGGAGAGGAAACAAACAGGTCGAAGAGGCGGGGATGGAGCCAGGAAAGGTGAGTGTAGGTAGGGGGTTAGGAAGGGGATAGGTCAGTCCAGGGAGGACGGACAGGTCAAGGGGGCGGGATGAGGTTGGTCGGTAGGAGATGGAGGTGCGGCTTGAGGTGGGAGGAGGGGATAGGTGGGAGGAAGAACAGGTTAGGGAGGCAGGGACGAGCTGGACTGGTTTTGGGATGCGGTAGGGGGAGGGGAGATTTTGAAACTTGTGAAATCCACATTGATACCATTGGGCTGCAGGGTTCCCAAGCGGAATATGAGTTGCTGTTCCTGCAACCTTCGGGTGGCATCGTTGTGGCACTGCAGGAGGCCCAGGATGGACATGTCGTCTGAGGAATGGGAGGGGGAGTTGAAATGGTTCGCGACTGGGAGGTGCAGTTGTTTGTTGCGAACCGAGCGTAGGTGTTCTGCAAAGCGGTCCCCGAGTCTCCGCTTGGTTTCCCCGATGTAGAGGAAGCCACACCGGGTACAGCGGATGCAGTATACCACATTGGCAGATGTGCAGGTGAACATCTGCTTGATGTGGAAAGTCTTCTTGGGGCCTGGGATGGGGGTGAGGGAGGAGGTATGGGGGCAGGTGTAGCACTTCCTGCGGTTGCAGGGAAAAGTGCCGGGTGTGGTGGAGCTGGAGGGGAGGGTGGAGCGGACAAGGGAGTCACGGAGAGAGTTGTCCCTCCGGAAAGCAGATAAGGGTGGGGAGGGAAAGATGTTTTTGGTGGTGGGGTCGGATTGCAGATGGCGGAAGTGTCAGAGGATGATGCATTGGATCCGGAGGTTGGTGGGGTGGTACGTGAGGACGAGGGGGATTCTTTTTTGGTTTTTATTGCGTGGACGGGGTGTGAGGGATGAGGTGCGGGAGATGTGGGAGACACGGTTGAGGGCGTTCTCGACCACCGAGGAGGGGAAGTTACGGTCCTTGAAAAACGAGGACAACTGAGATCTACGGGAGTGGAATGCCTCATCCTGGGAGCAGATGCGGCGGAGGCGAAGGAGTTGGGAATAGGGGATAGCATTTTAGCAGGAAGGTGGGTGGGAGGAGGAGTATTCTAGGTAGCTGTGGGAGTCGGTGGGCTTGAAATGAATATCGGTTTCTAGGTGGTTGCCCGATATGGAGACAGAGAGGTCCAGGAAGGGGAGAGAGGTGTTAGAGATGGTCCAGGTAAACTTAAGGTTGGGGTGGAAGGTGTTAGTGAAGTGTATGAACTGTTTGAGCTCCTCGTGGGAGCACGAGGCGGCGCCAATACAGTCATCAATGTAACGGAGGAAGAGGTGGGGTTTAGGGCCGGTGTAGGTACGGAAGAGGGATTGTTCCACGTAACCTACAAAGAGGCAGGCGTAGCTTGGGCCCATGCGGGTACCCATGGCTACCCCCTTTGTCTGTAGGAAGTGGGAGGAATTGAAAGAGAAGTTGTTGAGTGTGAGGACGAGTTCGGCTAAGCGGATGAGGGTATCAGTGGACGGGGACTGGTCGGGCCTGCGGGACAGGAAGAAGCGGAGGGCCTTAAGGCCATCTGCATGGGGAATGCAGGTGTAGAGGGACTGGATGTCCATGGTAAAGATGCGGTGTTGGGGACCGGGGAATTGGAAGTTCTGGAGGAGGTGGAGGGCGTGGGTGGTGTCACGGACATAGGTAGGGAGTTCCTGGACCAAGGGGGAGAAAATGGAGTCTGGATAGTTGGAGATCAGTTCGGTGGGGCAGGAGCAGGCAGAGACAATGGGTCGACCAGGGCATTCAGGTTTGTGGATTTTGGGAAGGAGATAGAAGCGGGCAGTGCGAGGTTGGGGAACGATGAGGTTGGAGGCCGTGGGTGGGAGGTCACCTGAGGTGATGAGGTTGTGGATGGTTTGCGAGATGATGGTTTGGTGCTCAGGGGTGGGGTCATGATCAAGGGGGCGGTAGGAGGAGGTGTCGGAGAGAATCAAAGCTGTAAGTTTATCTGCCTTGCCTGTTTTACTTCTTGCATTGAAGCACGTGCATTTCACAGCACCTCCCCTGCTCTTTTCAGTCACTTTTCCCTGCCAGTTCTTATTCATGTTTGCTTTGGTTTCTACTTCTTCCTCAATTTCTGCATCTCCTGGTCTACTCCTCTGGTTCCTAACCCCTCCTCACACTAGTTTAAACACTCCCCAACTACACAGCCAAGTACCACCACAAGGAAATCAGTTCCAGTCCCGCCCAGGTGTTACCTGTCCGGTTTGTACAGGTGCCACCTCCCCCAGAACTGGTCCCAATGCCCCATGAATCTGAAACCCTTCCCCTCACACCATCTTTACAGCTTTGTGCTTATCCTATATATCCTGCTATTTCTACTCTGACCAGCTTGTAGCACTGGTATTAATCCTGAGGTAAGTGCCTTTGAGGTCCTACACATCAACTTTCTTCCTAGTTCTCTATATTCTGCTTTTAGGACCTCATTCCTCTTCTTTTAACCTATGACATTAGTAGACTGAGGGATTATCCCGGACGAAATGTTAGATTGAAGTGTGGTCTATAGCACCACATGAATGCTCAGTTTTGAGCTACACTATCTTCAATTCTTCTGCCTGTCCCCCAACAAACACCAAGACCCATTCGCCCAACTTCCCTCTACTCCGTGACTTACTCTGGTTTCTAATGTGATATTTAATATGTAATATCTGTTTTAGTATTCTCATTCTTCTGAGGGTCTCTCCATGGTGTGTCACCTCCAATTTGTCACGTTTCTCAAAACCTTTAACATATTCATCTGAATCCTTTTCCTTTCTATAGTGCCATCTTTGGTATTCAAAGTTTCCCTCTGTGTGGAAATCTATCTATATCCTGTTGTATCCTTTCATAATTAGTTGCACTATCAGCAACTCCACCAGTCTTCATGCCATTTTGCAAATCTGACCACCCACATTTTCCTCCAGATCATTTATATATACATACTACAAATTACAGAGGACCTAAGACTGGTCCCTGTAGAACACCACTAGTTACTGGTCTCCATTCTGAAAAATACCCTTCCACCGCTACCCTCCTATCTTTTATGAACAAACCAGTTTTGCATCCATCTAGCCAGCCCACCCCAATCCCATGTGCTTTTAGGTTTTGTAACAATCTGCCGTGTGGGATTTTATCAAATGCTTTACTAAAGTCCACATAAACTACATCTACTGCTCTACCCTCATCAATTATCTTTGTCACCGCTTCAAAAATATTTCGATCAGGTTAGTGAGACATGCCCTTCCCCCTATAAAACCATGCTGCCTGTCACCAACTCGTCCGTTTTCTTCCAAATGTGCAAGTAGCTGAGTTTGATATTGAGTCCTGCGGGCTGTAGATATCCCAAGTGGAAAATGAGGACTGCAGCAAGCCTGAGGCAGAGATGTTGCCACAGGAACACAGTGGTGTGTTGATGTGGTAGGCAACTGGCAACTCGGGGCATATTGGGCGAACAGAACATAGGTGCTTTATGAAGCAGTCACCTAGTCTACTTGATAATCTGTCCACCAAAAAGACCCTGAGCTTCCAGTTGCCTGAGGGTCACCACATCTCAGGCAAGCGGCGAAGATGAGAAAGCGGGACCTTCATGGGAACCTCTCCCAGTATGAGAATTGAACTTGTGCTGTTGGCCTCCTGCCTCACAAACCAGCTGTCTAGTCAACTGAGTTGGAAATTATGAAACTGCAATAAACAGAAATAGTCAAAGACAAAGAACCATTGAGTCTTTGATAACAATGAACAAGCTGTAAGTCAGATTAAGTTCAAGATAACGGCTAAGGACAAAACAAGTTCTCTTCTAGACATTGTATTTTTATAATTAGACAATTGTATAGATGTTGTCCTTGCCTGAATACAATAAGATCATAGAATCCCTACAGTGTGGAAACAGGCCCTTCAGCCCAACAAGTCCACACAGAGCATCCCACCCAGACCTATTCCCCTATAAAAACACCTAATCTCCACATCCCCGAACACTATAGGCAATTTAGCACGGCCAAGTCGCCTAACCTGCATATCTTTGGACTGTGGGAGGAAACTGGAGCATCCGAAGGAAACCCACGCAGACATGGGGAGAATGTGCAAAATCCTCACAGATGGTTGCCCAAGGGTGGAATCGAACCTGGGTCCCTGGCGCTGTGAGACAGCAGTGCTAACCACTGTGCCACCCCAAAAGATGAAACAATAAAATAGCCAGAATTACTGATTGTGATTCGATATTGATAACAATATGACAACTGTATATTTTTGATTGGCCCGTGTAAAGTAAGCTTGCAATTACTGATAAATTTACCTCCACGCTGATGCATGTTTGTTTGCCTTCCTTACAGTTAACATAGTAACAATCTTCATCCTTCTTTATAAAGATTGTGGATTGTCTGCAAGTGTCAGCCGTTACCTGGTGGCCATGGCAGTGGCGGATCTACTGGTCATTAACCTTGACCTAATATTGAGACACATTCCGATTCTTTATCAGGGATCATTTAATTTCCGCTATTCCATCCCCGTGAGTAATATCCATGCCGTCCTGCTTTACGCAGCCACAGACTGTTCTGTCTGGTTCACCATCACTTTCACCTTTGATCGGCTTGTGGCCATTTGTTGCCACAAGCTAAAATGTAAATATTGCAGTAAGAAAACGGCGGCTGTAGTTCTGGGAACAGTGACTGTGCTGAGCTGTTTAAAGAATATTTTCTGGTATTATATGCACACGGGTCGGTATTTAATGGGGAACGTTCCCTGGTTTTGTGACGTAACAGACAATGTTTATGAGTCTCGGGTCTGGGTCACAATTCAGTTCCTCCACCACATTCTAAACCTGGCTCTCCCATTTCTCCTGATTCCGCTGCTCAATGTTTTCACTGTCAGACACATTTTAGTGACCAGCAGAGCCCGTGAAAGACTCCAGGCTCACACCAATAGGGACATTCAGTGCGACACAGAAATGGAAAATTGAAAAAAATCCATCATTTTACTGTTTGTGGTCTCAGCCAATTTCATCCTATTATGGTCAATGTTAATGGTGTTTTCTATTTGGAGATGGATGTGGTATTTGGGCTATAAGCGTATCTATCTGCCTTGGGTTGTGATGGAACTGGGCTTCATGCTGCAGCTCCTCAGTTGCTGCACAAACACCATGGTTTACGCTGTGACCCAGACTAAGTTCAGATAACAGCTGAAGAATGTGCTGACATATCCCTTTACCCAAATCAATCAATCAATCAAATTCACTAATTAATCAATCCATCCAGGATGTTCTCATTTCAATTCTGTTTTCAGGAATGAAACAGACTGTCAGTATGGTAACAGACTGGGGGTAGTGCTGACTTGTTCAACCTTATCTCACAGGTTATGGGGCACTTTTGAATGTTTCTTTCAACTCAGCGGCTCGTGAGAAAATGCATCATTCCACTTTCTGCGTCAATAATACTAATTTGTAAATAATAATAAAAAAAATGTTCATTGACAAGTGTCAAGCAACAGAGCTAGCTTTTTTTTGTTTGCCCTTTTGTTGAAAAAGCTGAGCTGGAGAGACAAAGGCCCCAAGTTCTGGTCCTCAGGGAAGGAGAGGGACATGAGCTGAGCTCAAGTGTTGGTTTAAGTCAGTCTGCCCTTACTTTCACCTCTGGTGACACAAACTGCAAACTTTCCCTTCGTATCTATTATTTAGAAGGTAAAAATTGCAGCATGATCTCCTTGTGAATGATTTGCAAAAAAGTTGGTCCTGCAGCTAATTAAGAAGACAAATGGAATATTGTCGTTCATTGCTAGAGGGATGGAATTTAAAAATAGGAAGGTTATGCTGCAGCTGTACGGGGTGTTCGTGAGGCCACACCTGGAATACTCTGTTGTTTTGGTCTCCTTACTTGAGAAAGGATGTAATGGCACTGGAGGGGATGCAGAGGAGGTTCACTAGGTTGATTCCAGAATTGAGAAGTTTGTGTTATGAGGAGGAGGTGGCAATGGCCTAGTGGTATTATTGCTGGACTATTAATCCAGAGACCCAGATAATGTTCTGGGAGGCCAGGTTCAAATCCCACCATGGCAGTTGGTGGAATTTGAATCCCATAAATATCTGGAATTACAATTCTAATGATGATGTGAATCCATTGTCAATTGTTGGAACAACCCATCTGGTTCACTAATGTCCTTTAGGCAATGTGGTTGACTCTTAACTGCCTTCTGAGCAATTAGAGATGGGCAATAAATGATGCCTAGCCAGAGACACCCTCATCCCCTGAACTAATTTAAAAAACGGAGTGATTGAGTAGCTTGGGACCATGCTCATTGGAATTTAGAAGAATGGGGGGTGGGGAGGGGTGGTGAATCTAATAGAAACATATACAATTATGAAGGGAAAAGATTAGAAGCCGGGTGGTCAAACTAGGACCATAGCCTCAAAATAAGGGAGAATAGATTTAGGATTGAATTGAGAAGGAACTTCACCCAAGGAGTTCTGAATCTGTGGAATTCCCTGCCCAGTGAAGCAGTTGATGCTACTTCTTTGAATCTTTTTTTAAGGCAAAGATAGATAGATAGATTTTTGAACCGTAAAAGAGTTAAAGGTTATGGTGAGTGGGCGGGGAAGTGGAGCTGACTCTGCTAAAAGATCAGCCATGATATTACTGAATGGTAGAGCAGGCTCGATGGGTCAGATGACCTACTGCTGTTTATATTTCTTATGTTTGTATTTCTCTCCCAACCCTTCTACCACCTACACCTGAACCTCTTTTTTTCTCTCTCCTCCAGTGATCTCCCTCTGACTTTCTCACTCTCTTTCAGTGTCTCTCCCACTCACATTCTCCTTCAAACTGTCACCCTCCTGCGAACTCTATCTCTCTAGCACTCTCCCCTTCTCACAGTTACCTCATGATCTCCAAACCTCTCTCCCTCTAACTTGATTTTTCTGGCAGTCGTGAAGAAGCATAAAATGGCTGACTGACTGATTCCTTCTGAATCAATCATCCCAGTTTTGCAGATTAAAACACATCATACGTTATCATCTCTCAGCCTCCTCAGATGAAATACAGTGAGATGCCAACCGATGCAATTCGAATGCTATACTGAGGAGGGACGGTATAAACTAAATGGTCAAATGTGAAACTGGGTGCAGGACCAGAGAAGGCTTCAATTTGGGCCTGGTATTGCATCAGCATAGGAGAGAGGGAAATCTAAAAAATTCTGTTTTCATTCATACATTCCTGCATTATAGAAATATTAGTTTGTTTACAGAAGCAGGACATGAAGACCTCAATTACAAAGGATAGGTACGTTTCGATTAAGATGAAAATTCCAGAATCTGTTTAAAGTCAGTGCTCCAAAATAATTAAAAGTGTCAGCACTGCCTGTCTAACTTTCAAAACTTCAAGAGAAAAATGCAATAGGAATATGCAACAGGTAACAAGTCAGTTAGCGGATGCTTTGCAGGTGTGAGACCTTGTTCAGAATACATCACAGTGTTTTAACTGTAGTCAGAAATATTTTATACAGAAAACAGATATGTATCAAATGTCACACTGACCTACTTTGGCTTCAAACTTTGCACTGTATAACAAATGAATAACAAGCAACATATTTGCAATGAAGCAAACCTCCATGGAAGCATAGATACATGGGTGTTGTTTGTATTTAGTTGTGAGGGAGTGACTGGGTATGTAAAGGAGTGAGTGTGACTGTGAGGGACTGTGTGAGGAAATGAATGTGAATGTGAGGAAGTGAGAGTTTATGGTGGATTTTTGAGTGGGATATTGTGCTAAAGTATGCGTGAGAGGCAGATGTAAGATTGTGTGATTTTGTGAGATAGTGAGTTTGTAATGCTGTACCTGTGTGTGTGTGTGTGTGTGTGTGCATGCATGTGTGTGCATGATAGAGTGTTTGTGTGTGCTCACGTATGTCTGTGCAAGAGTTTTTGTGTGAGTTTCAGTGTGTGAGAGATTGCATGTGAGAGAGAATGAATGAGTCTGGGTGTTTGTCTATATATGTCTGTATGAGTCAAGGAGAACTCCGAAGGGATATGAATATCTTCAGTGAAAGCAAATATCTGACCTAGAGAGATTCACTAACACTTTCTCATGCTCCCAATTCAATCTCCCGGCAATAAGTGGCAATGTATCATTTGTCCTCCTCAGTGTTTGCATTACCATCATGTTTACTTTCTGACACCATCAACACCCGCTGGACAACAATGTTCAATAGTTTCTCACCATTTTAAACCCAAGTGTTATGTTTTATTTTTCTATTCTTCCTGCAAACATGAATCACATTGCGCTACATTATATTTCCTTTGCCAATGTTTTAAATTCAGCGCACAGGATACAAACAGCAATGTAGATGATATGATGAGGTGTAGCAAACTCTGTTATACTCAATATCTTCATGTTGTAATGTGCTAATATCCAGTCATAATTCAGACCTCCCACAAGGGCAAATCTTCATTGGGTCTGGAAGTATGGACTAGGCAGGGTTATTTTAATATGTCACTGAGTTCGTTTGTAAATCTTTGCTGCACCTGGATATTTCTCCACATTATTTTCCATTACTTGCTGACTTGGTGAACCTGTCCATATCTGTTTGCAGCCTCTTTGGTCATCCCCATGACTTTATCTCCCACCCAACATAGTCTTGTCAGTGAATCCAGAGACAGTACACTTGTTCCCTTCATCTAAACAATTGACATTGATAATAAATGGCTGTGGCTTTAACAGTGAACCTTCCAACACACCCACTAGTATCAGTTCACCAAACAGGAATGACCCTGTTTACTGTCCGCCAGCCAATCTTATTCCCTCCAGCAAATACCATTACACTAATTGCGCAGTTTGACCTAATGTTACAATGTTGTCACTTAGTCTCAGAATACAACAAGAGAGGTGAGGGAAGGAGACAGAGAAGTGAGAGGCAAAGAGAGAGGGACAAAGAGACAAAGCATACAGAAAAGGAAAGACAGGGACAACGAGTGAGAGAGAAATATTTAATGGTCCACTGAGCTGAGTAGCTCTCCAAAGATGATACAAAATTCAGAGACAGATCTATAGTCATCAGACGGTGTGGGGATAGGATTTCAAAACTGTGGGCAAGGAGTGTTTGATGGGAACAATGTAAAGGGGATATCTTACTCTGTACCTAACCCCGTGCAGTACCTGTCCTGGGACAGTTTGATGAGGATGTTGTGGAGGGAGATTTACTCTTACACTGAAACTAGAATGGTTCTTGCCCTTAGTATGTACAGGGCATAGTACAGGGGCAGTACTTCTCTTTGTATAGCCTCTGGTCTCACGGTGTCATGAATTTTGATGGGAGACAGAGTAAATGGAGATGCTTGAACCCTTGAAACATTAAACAAGCTCCAGTAAGCAATCCCTGATATCAGATTAACAGAAGATATTCAAACCATTGGGAAAGACTGCAGACTCACCTCCCCCTGACACTGAGAGGCTCCTGTATCGCACACTGTATTGGAATAAGATGCTGTGTTGGGGAGCAGGATATATATATCACATGGGATTCAGATGACTGTTTATTTGAATGGTAAGAACCAGGAATGTAGCAGAAAATCAGAACAGAACAGAACAGAGAGAATCAAAGAACATGAATTTATCAAAGAGCTCTGTTCCTTTTGAAAATATTGAACCAGCGATAGCCCTGTTATATCTAATTCGAGAGTTCAGGATTGTGTCTTTGTATGTCTATGTCTATATTTGGGGGTATGTGATGGGGACAGTTTAGATTGGTTTAAATTTGCATCTTTGTTCGGATTATGCCTTCCTTCACATGTTTGAATGAAGCATCATCGACAGAGCTCCCTGTACTGTCCCGCTTATGGAATTGTTTGATGCTGACACTGTGGAGATAGATTTACTCTATATCTAACTCCATAAAACAAGTCATATTTTCAGAATTTTCAAAATGACACACAAATTGGCAATTGAATAATCAGGGAAGAGAAGAATAGCAGACTTTAGGAGGATAAAGGCAGAAGCTGTTTACAGGCCGTCTGAGGATGAAAGTGTTCCACGGGATTCCTGATTCGTCTCAGCAAAACAGTCACAGCAGGACTTCTTGACTCTTGACGACCTATTAATAAGAAGCACAGAATTCAAATAAAATAGATATGAGAGGTGAGAGTTTTCTGTTTATCATTTAGGAAAAAACAAAATGGGCACCTTGGGAGAAGAGGCCTGGCATCTATTTAAACAAAATCGACCCCGATACTGCACCGCAAACGCTGAAAGTAAAGGCCTTGTTCAGAATTTGAGATATACAAGATGTAGAGCTGGATGAACACAGCAGGCCAAGCAGTATCAGAGGAGCAGGAAGGCTGACGTTTCAGGCCTATACCCTTCTTCAGAAATGGGGGAGGGGAAGGGGGTTCTGAAATAAACAGGGAGAGAGGGGGAGGTGGATAGAAGATGGATAGAGGAGAAGA